CTTTCTTTCTTTCTTTCTTTCTTTCTTTTAAAGTTTTTATTGGGTACAAAGGACAAAAAAGATTAAAAACACTGAACGTGGTAAATCGTCTTTGACCGACATCTCCGTCCATATTGTACATTAATTACATACAATATATCTGTTAAAAATAACACAAAAAACATACATATGGCTCCTGGGAGGATCCATAGCACAACAAGAAGTAAAGAAACACCAGGAGAAGAAGAGACTCTAAAAATATTTGATGGTAAAAACCAACATGACAAATACTGGTTAAAACCTACAAAATTATTAAAAGAAGTCTACAAAAATTGAGAACCTAGCTTTCGTTGGCAAACTGCCAACTTCCTCAGGGCTGTAGTTCAATATATCTATATACAACTGTACATTTCTGGTCTCTTATCTTAACTTATCTCTTTGCTGTGACCTCCATATTTTTTTTCCCCTCCATCTATAAAATTTATTCCGTATTTGATAAAGTTCTGTTTCTTCCTGGTTTTTTAATCTTTTGGTTATCCTATCTAATTCTGCGCAATACATCATTTTCTTAATTAGTACTTCCCCACTCGGCACTTCCATTGCTTTCCATGTTTTGAGCAAATAGTATCCTTGCCGCCGTAACCACGTGAATAATTAGATATGCGTGATCTTTATTTACATCTTTCTCTAGTATTCCTAATAGTAATGTCTCAGGTTTGTATTGAATGTTTTGCTTAGTCATTTCTATTGCCCATTCCCAGACCATACGCCAGTACACCTGTGCTTCTCTACATGTCCACCATACATGAAAGAAAGTGCCCCCCAAAGATGCTTTTTCAAGGGGTACCTGGACTTCCTTGATTCCCCCCCCCCTTGAAGAGGTTTTGCTTCTCATCCAAGGAGCTTCTTCAGTTCTGGCTGAAGGGTGGGGAATAGAAAGATTTCCTACCTTCCTTAATATATAAATATTCCTTCGCATAAATCCTGCCCTTCCCCACCCTGGTTGCAGGAATTGGGTATGTCTAGTCTAGAGAAAAGAAGGACCAGGGGCGATATGATGGCCGTCTTCCAATATTTGAGGGGCTGCCACAAAGAAGAGGGGGGGGGGTTCCACCTCTTCTCCAAAGCGCCTGAAGGCAGGACAAGAAGCAGCGGATGGAAACTAACCAAGGAGAGAAGCAACCTGACAGTGAGGACAATTAACCAGTGGAACTGCTTGCCACCAGAAGTTGTGAATGCTCCAACACTGGAGGTTTTAAAGAAGAGACTGGACATTTGTCTGGAAAGGTTGGTGAGCTCTAGCATAGACAGCTTGTGAATCTCCTGGGACTAGCACTGATGATGTTACGTAGTGGGGTCATGAAAGGTCTGTAGGAAAACAGCCAAGCTCAGAAAGCACCAAGAGCCCCACAGCCCCCCCCCTCCACCTCCTCCTCTTCCTCCTCCTCCTCTTCCTCCTCCTCTTCCTCCTCCTCCTCCTCCTCCACCTCCTCCACCTCCTCCTCCTCTCCGCAACACCCCCACCTCCATTCTAGCACTGAGGATGTTGCCTAGTTGGGTCATGAAATGTCTGCAAGAAAACTGCCCAGCTCAGGGAGCCCCCAGGACCCCACAGTCTTCCTTCCTTCCTTTCTTTCTTTCTTTCTTTTTTCCTTCCTTCCTTCCTTTCTTCTTCTCCTCCTCCTCCTCTCCGCAACCCCCCCTTCCATTCTAACACTGAGGATGTTACCTAGTTGGGTCATGAAATGTCTGCAAGAAAACTGCCCAGCTCAGGGAGCCCCCAGGACCCCACAGTCTTCCTTCCTTCCTTCCTTCCTTCCTTCCTTCCTTCCTTCCTTCCTTCCTTCCTTTCTTTCTTTCTTTCTTTTTTCCTTCCTTCCTTCCTTCCTTCCTTCTCCTCCTCCTCCTCCTCCTCCTCTCCGCAACCCCCCCTTCCATTCTAACACTGAGGATNCTTTCTTTCTTTCTTTTTTCCTTCCTTCCTTCCTTCCTTCTCCTCCTCCTCCTCCTCCTCCTCTCCGCAACCCCCCCCTCCATTCTAACACTGAGGATGTTCCCTAGTTGGGTCATGAAATGTCTGCAAGAAAACCTCCCAGCTCAGGGAGCCCCCAGGACCCCACAATTCAACCCTGAGCTACAGATATTGTCCTTTTATTGTGCTAAATGTGCCCCTGGGTCTTCCTGGCCCCCCCCTGAGATCAGGACCCCCCCATTCGGGTCCAGGGGCAGCCTGGGGGGGGAGGGGGCTCCAGAGGGATCGGGGGGGGGAGGCTGGCTGCTGACCCCTCTGCTGCTTCCTCCCGGCGCAGGTCTTCAAGCGGCACAACCCGGGTCCGGCGGAGGAGCAGGAGATGATGGAGAACCTCTTTGACTCCCTCTGCTCTTCGCTGATGCTGAGCTCCAACCGGGAGCGCTTCCTGAAGGGGGAGGGGCTGCAGCTGATGAACCTCATGCTCAGGTGAGGCCCTCCTGCGGGCGGGCGGGCGGGGGCGCCCCTCACCCCAGGCACGGGCGGCAGCTGGGTCCCCGGGGAGCCTCCCTCCCTCCAGAGGCTGTGGGCGCTCTAGGCTTTTAAGAAGAGATGGGGCAGCCGTTTGGCTGGAAGGGTGTAGGGTCTCCTGCTTGAGCAGGGGGCTGGACTAGAAGACCTCCAAGGTCCCTTCCAGCTCTGTTATTCCGCATTCTATTCTTCCTCCTCTCATTCTCTCCCTCCCCCTCCCTCCCTGACTCTTATCTTCCCTCTCCTCCCCCACCCCTCTTTCTCCTGGGCCAGCCTTACTCAATGTCTGCCAGAAAACCACCCAGCTCAAAGAGCACCAAGGACCCCACAGTTCTCCTCCTCCTCCTCTTCCTCCTCCTCTCTGCAACCCCCCTCCCTTCTAGCACTGATGATGTTCCCTAGTTGGGTCATGAAACGTCTGCAAGGAAACCATCAAGCTCAGAGAGGACCAAGGACTCACATTTGTCCCCCTTCCTCCTCCTCCTCCTCCTCCTCCTCCTCCTCCTCCTCCCTCCCTCCCACCCTCCCTCCTCCTCCTCTTCACAAACCCACCTCTTCTAGCACTGATGATGTTTCCTAGCTGGGTCATGAAACATCTGCAAGAAAACAGCCCAGTGCAAAGAGCACCCAGGACTCACAGTTGCTCCCCTTCCTCCTCCTTCCTCCTCCTCCTCCTCCCCCTCCCCATCATCCTCCTCCTCTTCATAAACCCACCTCTTCTAGCACTGATGATGTTTCCTAGTTGGGTCATGAAACATCTGCAAGGAAACCACCCAGTTCAGAGAGCACCCAGGACCCCACAGTCTTCCTCCTCCTCCTCCTCCTCTTCACAAGCCCCCCTCCCTTCTTGCACCGATGATGTTATTACCTGGTTTGGTCGTGAAAGGTCTGCAAGGAAAGCAGCCAGCTCAAGAGAGCAGCGAGGGCCCCTGCGGGCAGAGTCACGTTGCTGCTGTTCAAAGGAGCTGCCAGCTGCCCTCAGAGTTTGTGGCAGGTGCTGAGATGGCAGCAAACCCCCCCCCCTTGCCTCCTACGTGCCCCCTCTCCCCCCACACACTTTTGTTTCCACACCCGTTTGTGAAGAGGATGCATCCAGTGCACACCCTTCGCCTCTGGCTTCGGAGTTCTGTGCAACACCCAGAGCTGATGTTGAGGCCGATGGGACGCCAGAGACCCCAGACCCAAGATACATACATGCATGAAAGCCCCCTTTTCCTCCCCCCCTTTCACGGGGGGGGGCAGGACCGAGCTCAGCCCTTTCTCGCTCTCAGCTTTGCTGACGGGGAGGGGGCTGTGGGGAAAGGGGGCTCCAAGGAGAGCGCTCTCTTCCTGCAGAGCAAGCCTGGCTAATGCAGCAGCAGCAGCAGCAGGGACCTGAATAAATAACCAGAAAGCATGGATTATTTTATTTGGGGGGGGGCGGTGTGTGCTGAGTTTTCTTTAGGCTAATTAAAGCCCCTCTGCAAGGGAGGGGGGGCAGAGAAGAGGGAGGGGCTTCTTGGATCTCCCTGTCCTTCTCTCCTCTGGACTCAAGGCTGCTCTCTGTGGCCCGGCAGAGGTAATTAGCCAGAGTCCTGGAGCCTCCCTGCCTCTCCCCATCCATCCACCCCCTCCTTTTCTCCCCAACCCCCATTTCCGTCTCACTCGGGGGGTTACGCCACGTCCCACCACCTCCTCCATCTTGGCCAAGACCGAGTACAGGTCCTCCCGTATGGAGGTTGTGGGCGCTCCATCTCCGCAGGTTTTTAAGAAGAGACTCGGACAGCCGACTGTCTGAAACGGTAGAGGGTCTCCTGCTTTAGAGCAGGGGGTACGACTAGAGGACCTCCAAGGTCCCTTCCAGCCCTGTTCTGATTGGTTGGGTGATTGAGCAGGGGGGTGGACTAGAGGACCTCCAAGGTCCCTTCCAGCTCTGTTCTGATTGAATGAGTGAGTGATTGAGCAGGGGGTTGGACTAGAGGACCTCCAAGGTCCCTTCCAGCCCTGTTCTGATTGGTTGGGTGATTGAGCAGGGGGTTGGACTAGAGGACCTCCAAGGTCCCTTCCAGCTCTGTTCTGATTGAATGAGTGAGTGATTGAGCAGGGGGTTGGACTAGAGGACCTCCAAGGTCCCTTCCAGCTCTGTTCTGATTGGTTGGGTGATTGAGCAGGGGGTTGGACTAGAGGACCTCCAAGGTCCCTTCCAGCTCTGTTCTGATTGATCGATTGGGTGATTGAGCAGGGGGGTTGGACTAGAGGACCTCCAAGGTCCCTTCCAGCTCTGTTCTGATTGATCGATTGGGTGATTGAGCAGGGGGGTTGGACTAGAGGACCTCCAAGGTCCCTTCCAGCTCTGTTCTGATTGATTGAATGAGTGAGTGAGTGAGTGAGCAGGGGGTTGGACTAGATGACCTCCAGGGTCGCTTCCCTCCCAGCTCTATTCTGATTAATTGATTGATCCCGGTGACTTTCCCTTCTCCCAAGCCCTCCCCCCCCTCTTGGTCAGTGTGAGTGTCCAATAAGGTTCAAACCGCTTGTCCCCTGCCTGGGTCCTCGGATCGCTCAGCCGTTGTGTCCTGGGGCCACTTCCGGTTCCTGTCATCCCCTCCCCCTCTATCCCCCCACCCTCCCCCTCCCCAGGCTTTATGGCAGGAAATTGTACCACCTGCCTTGTCGCATCCGTTAAGCGAATCCTTACAGCGCTTTGAGTCAGAGGCACGGCCGTTAAGCGAATCCGGCTTCCTCCATTGACTCTGCTCGTCAGGAGGTCGCCAAAGGGGATCAGGCGACCCAACCGGGACGCCGCGACCCTCGTTAAGTACATGCCAGTGGCCAAGCCGCTGAACTTGACCGCCAGGAGGCTGCAACGGTCGTTAAGTGTGAAAAAAGATCATGTCACCTTTTTTTGCCCCCCAGTGCCGTTGTAAACAAAGCGCTGAAAGTCGAGGAGTAGCTGTATAGGGTTTCCTGCTTCAGCAGGGGGTTGAACTAGAAGACCTCTGAGGTCCCTTCCGACTCTGTTCTTCTGTTCTTCCTGCGAAAGCTTTTGCAGAGGCGCATAAATCTACTCGTTCCGTATGTTCGGTACGGCTGGCCCGTCCGGCAGCGCCTGGGCAGCCAGCAAAGGCCTCTGCACAGGTCAAAGGAAGGCAGGCTAATGGCTGGGCAGCAGGGATCCCCCTCCCCAGCTTCTCTCTCTGTCCCCCCCCCCACCAGCCCAATCCATCCTGTTAGTTGGGAAACATGGCCTGAATTTAAAAACCCAGCTGGTGCCTTCTCTTCCGCAGGGAAAGGCTTCCCACGTCACCCGCCAAGAGATGGAGGCTGCCTTTTTATCTTAGGGGAGGAAAAGGAAGGAGGAGGAGGAGGAGGACTGTGGGGTCCTTGATGCTCTCTGAGCTGGGTGGTTTCCTTGCAGACGTTTCATGACCCAACTAGGGAACATCATCAGTTCTAGAAGGAGGAGGAGGAGGAGGAGGAGGAGGAGGAGGAGGAGGATGGGGTCCTTAGAGGTCTCTGAGCTGGGTGGTTTCCTTGCAGACGTTTCATGACCCAACTAGGGAACATCATCAGTTCTAGAAGGAGGAGGAGGAGGAGGAGGAGGAGGAGGAGGATGGGGTCCTTAGAGGTCTCTGAGCTGGGTGGTTTCCTTGCAGGCGTTTCATGACCCAACTAGGGAACATCTTCAGTGCTAGAAGGAAGAGGAGGAGGAGGAGGAGGAGGAGGAGGAACTGTGGGATCCTTGGTGCTCTCTGAACATGGTGTTCTAGGGAACATCCTCAGTGGTAGACGGGAGTTTGTAGGGAGGAGGAGGAGGAAATTTTGGGCCCAGTTGTTGTAACACGAGGACCCCCTGTGCCATTTCCGACCAATGCCTCTCCAGTCTCGTCTTGAAAACCGTCCCAGGTTGGAGCACTCACAACTGTTGGGAGTGAAGCCGTTCCCACTGATTGACCATTAGGACACTCCAAATTGGGGCGTCAATGCAGAAATTTCTTTTCATGAGCCGCTTGGCGGGATGTTTACCTAGCAGAATTGGATCCCAGGCCCTGTTTTCCAAAGCAGCCCCCTTTGGCAAGTGTCTCTCAAGGCAGAGAGCTTGGGTTAGGACAGGGGTGGGCAACGGTGACCCCCATTACCCCCTGGCTGGCTCAGGAATTCTGGGAGTGGAAGTCCACAGCTCCTCACAAAGGCCAGCCTGGCTCTAAGTGATTAAGATGAACTGCCTGCCCTCGGGTAGTACAAATATTTCAAATTAAAAAAACCAACCTTGGACAGATCGGTCAAACCATCTATCGATCTCTAAAAGCCCGAACTTAAATTGCCATGAATATTCCAGGGATCAGCTCCTTGCAGCTGCCTGAGCACTGATCAATATGCAATTGCTTCTTCCAAAGAAACAGAGACCTTAATTGCAACAGGAGCGGTGGGTGCTCCCTGGCTGGAGATTTTCAAGAAAAGATTCGTCTCGGAAGGGAGGAAGACTCCTGCCTTGGACAGGGGGTGGATTAGAAGGATAGAATAAGAAATAGAATAAGAAATAGAATAAGAAATAGAAATAGAAATAGAATAGAAATATAGAATAGAAATATAGAATAGAATAGAATAGAATAGAATAGAATAGAATAGAATTAATAATAGAATAGAAATATAGAATAGAAATATAGAATAGAATAGCATAGAATAGAATAGAATAGAATAGCATAGAATAGAATAGAATAGAATAGAATAGAATAGAATTAAGAATAGAATTAAGAATAGAATAGAATAGAATAGAATTAAGAATAGAATAGAAATATAGAATGGAATAGAAATATAGAATAGAATGGAATGGAATAGAATAGAATAGAATTAAGAATAGAATAGAGTAGAATAGAAATATAGAATAGAATAGAAATATAGAATAGAATAGAAATATAGAATAGAATAGAAATATAGAATAGAATAGAATAACAGAATAGAATAGAATAGAAATATAGAATAGAATAGAAATATAGAATAGAATAGAAATATAGAATAGAATAGAAATATAGAATAGCCTAGAATACAATAGAATAATAACTTTATTGTCACTTTGAATGTACACTAATCAGCATACATTAAAATGAAATTTTGTTGCCCTCAGCTCTCAAAAGGTCACACCTACAATATACACTACATAAATATGACATACATACATACATATGTACAGAATTATGCATATACCCACAATTCTGTATTTTTTCAAGGTCCCTTCCGGCTGTAGGATCCAACTTTGTTTAGCCTTTTAACTCGTTTCATTTTCAAGATGGGGCAAGCAGGCTTGGAAACAGAAGAACAGAGTTGGAAGGGACCTCAGAGGTCTTCTAGTCCAACCCCCTCTTTCTCTCTCTGTGTGCGTGTGTGTGTGTGTGCGTGTTTGTGTGTGTTGGGAGAGGACCAGAGTAAATCCCGGTTCCTCGGTTCCAACAGGCTGCCCTCCGGAGCTCTGAAAAGTTAAACTGGCTAAACGTACTTGGGATAGATAAGCCATCCGACAAAAATGTAAAAACAAAAGTCGAGTAAAAGATAGAATGGATACAGGTGGTCTTCAACATGCGGCCACAGCTGAGCCCCAAATTTATGTTGTTAAGTGACAAATCTCTGCGCCCTTTGACGACTTTCCTTGCCACATTTTTGCATCACGGTCCTTGCCACCTTAGCAACACGGTCGTTAAGTGAACCTGCCTCCTCCCCCATCGACTTTGCTTGTCCCGAAGGTCGCAAAAAAGGGGGGACCACGTGACACCCCCCCCCGGGGACGCTGCGACCGTCATAAATCTGAGTCGGTTGCCCAGCGTCCTGATTTTGATCACGTGACCCTGGGGACGCTGCGACGGCCGTAAGTGTGAAAAATGCTCCAAAGTCGCTTTTTTCAGTGCCCCTGCAACTCCGAGCAGTCACTAAACGAACAGTTATAAGTCGGGGACTGCCTGTAAAGCTCCAGGGTGAGAGATTTATTTTTTTCTCTCTCTTTTGAGACATTCATTAGCCTTCTGGCTAGGAAGGAAAAGCAGGGCCTTCCTTGTGAAGGAGCATAAAGGAGTTCTGGAGGCAAAAGTCCCTTTTTCTCCGGCAGGAAACACACAGCCCCATAAGTGGGGGAATTGAAATGGGGGGGGGAGTTTAAGGGGGTGGGCAGGGGCATTTGGGAGGCTGACCTTTCCCGTCCATTTCCAGCATAGAAAGCAGGCCAGCCGGAGGGCTGAGAAAGGCCGAGTCCACCGAGACGTTCTATGGACAGCTGGACTTGAACCCAGGGCAACTCTGACCTGCCTTCATGAGTTGTTGGCTGGTTAGCCTGCTTGCTTGCTTGCTCATTTTTGCAATATTTGTAGGCTGCTCCACCTCTCACACGCACACACGCAAACACAAAATCCTGCAGAAAAGATTATTTGTTCTCTAAACAAGCCAAGAGAAGAAGCGCATAGATTCGGTTGAGGGAAAAGCAGGAAATGGCTCTGAAGAGACATAATTATAACCAGGTCCCTCAAAGGGATCCCTCTCAAGGGGGCTAGAAAAAGTAAATGCTTACCATACACTAAACAAACTAAATTACACTAGACTAAATGGAATGGAATAGAATAGAATAGAATAGAATTATGGGTTAGAATAGAATAGAATAGAATAGAATAGAATAGAATAGAATAGAATAGAATAGAATAGAATAGAATAGAATAGAATAAATATTAGAATATAGAATAGAATACATATTGGAATATAGAATAGAATAGAATAGAATCGAAGGAGTGGAGTGGAATGGAATAGAAAAGAAAAGAAAAAAGAAAAAGAATAGAATAGAAAAGAAAAAAGAAAAGGAAATAGAACAGAACAGAATAGAATAGAATAGAATAAATATTAGAATATAGAATAGAATACATATTGGAATATAGAATAGAGTAGAATAGAATAGAATATAAGGAATGGAGTGGAATGGAATAGAATAGAAAAGAAAAAAGAAAAGGAAATAGAATAGAATAAAATAGAATATGTGGAATGGAATAGGCTAGGCTAGAATAGAATAGAATATAAGGAGTGGAATGGAATAGAATAGAAAAGAAGAAAAAGAATAGAATAGAAAATAAAAAAAATGGAATTGAATAGAATAGAATAGAATATATGGAGTGGAGTGGAATAGAATAGAATAGGATAGAAAAGGAAATAGAAAAGAGAATAGAATAGAATAATAGAATTGAATTGAATTGAATTGAATTGAATAGAAAATATGGAATGGAATGGAATAGAGCTGGAAGGGACTGTCATAAATATGAAACATTCCTCTTTCTCTTCCTCCTCCTCCCCCTCCTCCCCTCTCCTCCCCCCCCCACCTCTGCAAACTCCTCCTCCCTTCTAGCACTGATGATGTTCCCTAGTCGGGTCGTGAAACCTCTGCAAGAAAACCACCCAGCTCAGAGCACCAAGGACCCCACAGTCCTCCCCATCCCCCACCCCCTTTCTTCCTCCTCCCCCTCCTCCTACCCCTGATGATGTTCCCTAGTTGGGTCATGAAACGTCTGCAAGAAAACCGCCCAGCTCAGAGAGCACCAAGGACCCCCACAGTCTTCATCTTCCCCCTTCCCGGCCATGCCCCGGCTCATAGGCCCGTCTCTCCTCTCCTCCGCAGAGAGAAGAAGATCTCCAGGAGCAGCGCCCTGAAGGTCCTGGACCACGCCATGATCGGGCCGGAGGGGGCCGACAACTGCCACAAGTTCGTGGACATCCTGGGCCTTCGCACCATCTTCCCGCTCTTCATGAAGTCCCCCAAGAAAGCCAAGAAGGTGGGCACCTCCGAGAAGGAGCACGAAGGTAGGAGTTCCTCCCCGCTCGCCCTTCCGCTCTTCCCGGGACAGGCGCCCTCAAAAGGAGGGCCTGATTCTGCCACGCCCGGTCAGTTTCTCCTCCCCTGGGCAGAGAAAGCCGGGAGGCAGCTGGGCTGCTCCTCCTCGTAGTTCTAACTCCCTCCCTGCTCACTGGGTGTCTAATTAGCTCCGGCATCTGTGCCCGTCTGCGCCCGAGGTTTGAAGCTGTCTCTTTGATGCCAGCTCTTTGGAAAGAAGCCATCAGCCCACCTCCAAATGTCACCTCCAAAGCAGTATTTGTGCCTCCCAGCACTGAAGTGTGACATGAACATCAGGCAGCGCAGACACAAATTGCGGGTGGCTCCGTGTTGCGTTCTTGCTTTCCTTCCGCTGAGTCCCCAGAGGTGGGTGGGTGGGGTGGGGGAACATCCAGGTTTCTGCGTCGGCAGCCTGAACAGCTGGGGATTTCAACCCGGGTCGGTCACGAGGAATAGCGAGGCTGGGGCGAAAGGCGGTATAGGGACGCCTCCCTGGACGGGTGTTTTCAGAAACAGGCCAAAAGGTGTGTGATTTGTTGCACTGGGGACGAAGTGGGACACAAATTGTTCGCCTAGGGCCCAGGGGTAGGCAACCTTGGCTCTTTTATGACTGGTGGACTTCAACTCCCAGAATTCCTCAGCCAGCATGGGGGAACTACGGCCCCCTCATGACTCGTGGACTTCAACTCCCAGAATTCCTGAGCCAGCATGGGGGAACTATTGCCCCCTCATGACTCGTGGACTTCAACTCCCAGAATTCCTCAGCCAGCATGGGGGAACTAAGGCCCCCTCATGACT